TCCACAGTCACTCTGAGGGCTGTGGGAACCATGGGAAGGAAGGTTTTGTGCATATCACCCGGCTATGGGGACAGGATGGAAGCGGGACCACAGAATGTGTCCACAGATGCCGGAGGAAGGCGGTGGTGACCTGGAGGGCATCTGGGTGTCAGCGGTGAGGAGAGCTCTTGGGAAGGTTTCACACTGCTGCTGCTGCTCCGTAGCTGAAGGGCTTAAAAATAAAATCAAGTGTAGTCATAGGTGCTATTTAAAAGGTTTAAGGGAGCTTAAGTTAGTTTGTGTCAACTGAAGGCACTTTTGTCGTGGCTGTTGTAATTTACTGCATTCGGAAATAGAATATTAAGGTTTGTGACTAGAACTTACACTGTGTGACGATTTTATTAAGAGCATGTAAGTTTAAAATGATTTAACCGATGAACTCAACCTTTTGTTGTGTGACCTTCTCTATCTCCAGCAATGCAATTTTATTAAGAGCATGTAAGTTTAAAATGATTTAACCGTGGGCCGGCCCAGTGGCGCACTGGATAGTGCGCCGCTTGGGAAGCGCGGCGGCGCTCCCACCGAGGGTTCGGATCCCACATACAGACCGGTGGAAGCAGGTGTGGCCATATTAACAATTTCATAGGGCCGGCCTGTGGCTCACTCGGGAGAGTGTGGTGCTGACACCACCAAGTCAAGGGTTCAGATCCCCTTACCAGTCACCTTTAAAAAAATAAATAAAATAAAAAATAAATAAATAAAAGACAACTGGTAAGGGGATCTGAACCCTTGACTTGGTGGTGTCAGCACCACGCTCTCCCGAGTGAGCCACAGGCCGGCCCTATGAAATTGTTAATATGGCCACACCTGCTTCCTTTTTCTGAATATTTGTGTGGTATGCTTCTTTTCATTCTTTTACTTTCAAACTTCTTATGTTTCATATGATTTTTTTTTCTTTCATATATGATTGTCATCTTCAGGAAGCTACATAAGGCCAGATTTCTTTTTTTTCTTTTAAACCAGCCTGACAGCCCTGGTCGTTCAGTCCACCTAGATTTTGGACTTCGGGCCTGCAAAATGGTGAGAGAATAAACGTTTTCAGCCACTAAGGGTGTGGTACTTTGTTGCAGCAGCCTGGGAAACTACGACAGTGCCTGGGTTCTGTCAGTCTGCTTCCTGACGCTTTGCTCTTAGTTGGTCCTATCAAAAGCGGGAAGACCCTGGTCGAAAAGGGATGAAGTAACTAACAGAAAATGAAATTTCTTTTTTTTTTTTTTTCTTTTTGTCTTTTTTCGTGACCGGCAACGGATCGCAACCCTCAGTGTCGCGCCCGTACCGGGCCGGGACCGGCAACGGGATCGCAACCCTCGGTGTTGCTCCCGCACCTCGCTCAGCCAGTGAACGGCCAGTCTGTATGTGGGATCCAAACCCTCGGCAGGAGCGCCGCCGCGCTTCCCAAGCGGCACACTGTAGCAGTGCGCCACCGGGCCGCCCCAGAAAATGAAATTTCTAATACCCTATGTCAGCCTTAAGAAATCAGGAGACATATACACCGTGTTTAACAATGGTCATCTGGGGGAGCCTCAGGAGGATTTCCACTTTCTGTATTCTCTGTTTTATTTTTTTATTTTTTTTTATAAAGATGACCGGTAAGGGGATCTCAACCCTTGGCTTGGTGTTGTCAGCACCACGCTCAGCCAGTGAGCAAACCGGCCATCCCTATATAGGATCCGAACCTGTGGCCTTGGTGTTATCAGCACCGCACTCTGCCGAGTGAGCCATGGGCCGGTCCTGTATTCTCTGTTTTAAAAAATGTTTGTGCTTATTATTTATGCAAGGAAGGAGTCAAGGTATAATCTTCAAAGAATAAAAAGAAAGAAAATCCCTTCTTGGTTTTTTGCATGTTAACAATTTTGGTACCCTGTTGGGAAAATAGAATAATTTAATCAGGACCCCTCCCCTGCCCATTTGGTTGGGGGTGGTGCTGCTCATTCTTTGTAAATAAGTTGTGTGTGTGTGGAGTTAGTGCACATGCCCAGTACCATGGCTTGGCTGGCATTGAGTGCCTCGGGCATCTGCCCACACAGCCATGCTCTCCAACCTACAGCTTCCAAGGACCTCTTTGCCGGTTACCTAGCTCATAGACCTGTGTGTGAGGGGTCTGGTGACCCAGCCTGGTGTGTGAGGGGTCTGTGAGCTCCGGACCCAGCCCTAGCTTGACAATTGGCCCAGTTGGTACAGGATTAAGGGCAGGTAAAAGAGCTCAATGGTACCCCATGAGATTTTGGGGGGCGTGGAGGAAGAAGGATTAACAATCATATTCAGAAAATTTTGTTTTTCCACTCTTTCATTTTTTATTTAAAAAGTATTTATTTATTTAAATATTTTATTTGTTTATTATTTAGTTTTAACTAACTTTGCCTGTTATGTGCTGTTTGTAGTAGCAAAAATTTGAGAACAACCTATATACTCAACAGTATGGGATTGGTTAACAAAATTGCACACTGTACCATAGTGGACTCATTGTTCCATGGGGAACATTGAGCAGCCATTAAAACATCTTGCACAAAACGTATCTACTAACACAGGAGTATGTTTGTGATAGACCGTTACATGAATGAAGTGGGTTTTGAGAGTAGTTTGAGCTTTTTTTTTGTTTTCAGTTTTGTTTTTTATTGAGGAGAAATTCAAGTAACATAAAATTACCCATTTTAAAGTACGTAATTCAGTGGCATTTAGTGTATTTACGATGCTCCCAAGCATCACCTCTGTCTGGTCCCAAACGCTATCACCCCCAAGGAGACCTTGTCCCCAGCAGCATCCCTCTCATCCTCCTCCCCAAGCCCCTGCAGCCACTAATCTATTTTCTGTCTCTATGGATATGCCTGTTCAGGACATTTCATATAAATAGAATCACGCATTGCGAGGCCTTTCGCATCTGGCTTCTCAGCCTCACGTTTTCGAGGTCTGTCTGTGCTGTGGCATACGTCAGAGTTCATTGTATGGATTTACCATCTTTTGTTTATGCATTCATCTGTCGTTGGACATTTGAGTGTTTCCGCCATTTTTCTATTGTAAATAGTGCTGCTGTGAACATTCGTGTACAAATATTTGTTCAAACACCTGTTTTCAATTCTTTGGGGTATATACCTAGGGGCGGAATTGCTGGGTTGTATGAAAATTCTGTTTACCTTTTTATAAAATGACTAGACTGTTTTTCACAGTGACTGCACCATCTTACGTTCCCAGCAGCAATGTACCAGATCCCAATTTGTCCACACTCTTGTCGACACTTGTAATTGTCCTTTATTATTATTACTGAGGTCACACGAGTGTGAATGTCTCCCTTTGGTTTTTTTTTTTTTTTTTTTTTTTTTTTT